GACTGAGCTCTGGTCTACAGAGAGCTGTGAGTGACTCGAACAGCTCAGCATTTGGAGACAAGACCCTATCAAGCACAGCCACAGCCACCACTAACCTTGAGCAGAGAGGCAGCTGGTTCTTCATCCCAACAGTGCCCTTGCCCACAACTACTCCCAGGACTGCTGCAATGCTGAAACCTCACCACAATGGGGCTGCCAACCAAAACAAGACACCTAGGCCCTGGGAGCTGTCACAGCCAGGTAAGAGCCAGGGGAACAAGGCTAGCCTACTTGGGCAGGGAGAGACCAGTGAGAAACAGCAGAAAGCAGAAGTGTGTCCAGCCCCAGAGGGTAGACAGGGGAGCCACTAAGCAGCACCTAGCTAGCGCAAATACTCTCTGCCCTCCTTGCACCTAAGCCTCGCAGGAAGGAGATGCTGGCATCCATCTCTGCATCAGTACCAGCTCCACAGCAGCTCCTGCCCACCACTGAGACAGCCATGTCTGAGTGCTGCTTCTTTCTCAGGTTGGCACCAAAATTGCTCCTTCCCGCTCTGAGGTACCCTGGAGGTTGTGGTCTCTCCTCTCATCCAAATCTCTTTCACTGTTTTGCATTAACTTGTTTAGGACTGATGCTGTACAGCTGCTTCCCCCAAAATACACAGTACAAGAGCTGCCACCTCAAGTGCTTTGAAAGCTTTCCTCTTGCTCTGTCACTGCCTCTTTAAATCACTTACTCTGAAAAAGAGCTCAATGTTTTTGGGAGCACAGATAAAAAACACCGAGATAAAAGTCTGAAGCTTCTGGAGAGGTTAGACCTAGGCCTCTTCCCTGTTATCTAAGAAGGGTACAGGGCACACAAATAACTCCTTGCAGAGATACAGTGGAGTACAAATTTACAGTGACTCACACACTCTGAAGTAACTGCCATGTGCTCACTTCTACCCCACAGCAAAGCACAAGTTTATTTACCCATCAACATAAGATGAGAAGCATAAACCAGCATCTCAGATTGCACAGCACCCATCCAGCTTCACCACCTCCATCACTGCACACAAACCTCCTATTCTGCCCATATTTCAACAGTTACTAAGATGACTGATAATTCCAATGACAACCTGGAAAATACTGTTGTCCTGACAGTGGTGATGCTATGTTGCTGGGGTGCTGCTTTCCTTCACCTGGAAATTCTATGCTGTCCTTAACTTCTTTAAAAAGTGAAGAGGCAGTCCACATATTTTTCCCAGGTAGCAACAAGCAGACCAGGACCCTGATACAAACGCCAGTCAGGCACAGTCCCCAGATCCCCCATTTAATCGATCCAGCTCTGTAACTCCTCTCTTCAAATGCCCAAGTGTCTCCCGAGTTCAACCAGCAAGTCAGAATTTCATCAATTGCTTAAAAGCCCCGTGGGTAAGTTTCCAAAAGCAGCCAAGTCTTCAGCCACTACTGGAAGAATTCATTTAACTCAACACCAGCTGCCTAGCCCAAATCTAATACCTAGGCTCTCTCTTTAGCCAACTTAGAGAAGGATGCACTTAATTTAAACAAAGATGAGTTGCTCTCCAGATTTTGTCCCTCTCTGTCCCTTCAGTGGCAGATACTGCCTCAACATCTACCTTACGCAATGTGCCTGATGTTAAGTGAGTGGAAGAACACTCACATGATCTTCTAAAAAAATCTCTTCTCTCCACCCTGAGTAGAAGACCATGAACTAGCCTCAGCAATTTCATGTCAGCCTCAGGGGACTGAACTCTGAAGGCAAACAATGAAGTTGCAGACTTTGTGGGTAATCCATTCTCATAAATCAACCACAAGGCCATGGCTCCACAACATCTTCAAGAGCTGCATTTTTTTCTTCCCTCACCCCTCTCATCTCAGTTTAACTAAATTCTTCCTCCTAACACATTTTATAGCCCAGGTAAAACTTCTTCCCAATTGTGTAGCTCAGGAGGAGATGGGAGAAGGGGCAGAAAGATGCAGACAGACATTTCTGATGTAACTGAAAGAAACTGAAGACTGATGAAAAACATTAAGCCTTGATATACATTTCCCCATGGCAGAAGGCCCTTGAACCACAGTACTGGCCTCATTCCTAGCTTCAGGGAGATTAGCACTTCTGCTGCATGCCTAAAATCAGATAAGAGTCCCACAAAGTGCCTGGGGAGCACACCTTATTCCAGACCATCAGAGACATCAGGTCCTCAGAATGGTACTTGATCCTGGCCAAGATCTCAATGAATACAAATTAACTTCAAGTGGAGACACCAAAACCAGAAGAGGGACAACCAATCATGCTTGCTGCTTGTGAGGTGTAATAGAAGTGTACTTCCAAGTTCAACCAGCACACCTTTGAAGCTGAGAAAACTACTTTTTAGCAGCTGCAGAGCCCTGGATACAGTCCTCAATGCTGCTCAGATCAAAGGAGCAAAGACACATCCCAGCAGTTCTGCCTCAAACTGAGAAGGCCAGTGCACACAGCAGCCCCATGTGCTGCTGCATCAGTGTCTCATCCAGCTCCTCCAAAACTCCCATCTCCCCCATCACGGGGCTGTATTGGCCAGGGGAAAAGGGGAGAAACCATTCCTTCTGCTCTTCCCTCAAACCACAGGACACAACAACTGAAAGCTCCCAGAGCAGAAAGTCTAAAATCAACACTGCTCCAAACCCACCCATTTCACATATAAATAGAGAGTATAGAGATGCTAACAAATCTGACTCCCCCCAGGCTTTGCTGCTGCCAAAAAAGAGCCACTCAATCTTATGAGTCAATTAAAAATTCATAACAGACTGAAAGAAAAAAAAAAGTTTTGTTCTGTTTCTGAGAAAATTAGAACAATAACTCTCACTTAGCTCTCTTGTACCTCTTCTTGCATATTTTTTTTGTGTCAACAAAGCCAGTCTGAAAACCCACAACCCATAGCTCAGACCTAAAATGACAGGGAAAGTCAAGGACATGTGTTCTGCCCAGCCCTGCAGAGGAGCCTGTTTTCTCGACAGGACTTCAGGGTCTGAGGGAGCTGAAGTCAGCACTGGTTCATGAGGATGGGAGCCAGACAGAAGGCCCTTGGTAAGGGCTTGTCCTCTACAGGTCATCACAGGGGCACTCTGCAAAACTTAGTTTCTGTTGGAGTTTGGTTAAACCACAAAAAAAAAAGAAAACAAAACAAAAAAAACCAAACTACGTAGATACACACATTGAAAATGCAAGTAACCCTAAGTCACTTCCGAAGTGACTTTTCATAAATTAATAAAGCTAAACCAAATTAGGGCCACATGCATCCATGAAGGGGAGCAATATGATTTAACTAATACACTAAAAGTTACTTTGGATCAATCTTCTTGAGCATTCCCGACACACGTAAGCCCTGAAGCCAATGTCCTCAAAGCACCATTCATGGGTGTCTACAGAGTTCCAAACCTTACATGACTTGTACTGCTTGCAAAGGTGGAACAGAGCAAAAGCAGACCAACCCTCCAAGCCCTTGGCTGCCCACTGAAGAAGCTGCTAAGCTACAGTTAAAACCAGGAGGCTCCTCAGCCCTGGGGGAGAGTGGCGAAGGAGCTTGGACACGTTGGCTATGCTCACCCACGTGCTGAGAACATAGGTACTCTCACTTGCTCTAAGAGATCCCCTGTAAGGACTCCTGCTCACAGGCGTTTTCACTGGGTGCAGCTCCCTGGCAGAACAAACCATCTGCAAACTTTGACTGCCCCAACCCCACCCTGCCCCCAGGCACTTTTTTCACTGGGTGTTGGTTTTCAATGGGCTTCACTCCCTGAGGTGGCTTTACCGTAGCAGTGCTGACTCAGTCTTGTTTAAACTAAAGGGGGAACCACAAACCTAGACACCTGAAGCAAGTCACAGAACTACACAAACACAAATAAAATATTTGGGCATCTACCTCCCTCATGGACATCGGATGGGAAAACAGGCTAAATAAGTGCCTGCACCCAGGCTGTGGGGTTTTGTCTGGGAGAGTGGCTGGGTTGGCACCTCTGAAGAGAAGGAGCTAAGGTGCCCACAAGTTGGAGGCAAGAAGCACAACTCAAAGGAGGGCTATTGTGATTTAAATTCACACCTCGCCTCCTTTCACAATGCGTTTCCTGTGTCAACACAGTCTGAAATCGGCGACACCCTGACTGGCTAGGACATATGGATAATGCCACAGTAGTTTCCAAAACAGACCTGTGTTCTCATGAATACCTCCTAAGAAAAACAAGTCTGTGGGCTCAAATTTGCTAGAATGGTGTTTCTGCTGCACAGGAGCTCCTTCAGGAGTCCTTCAGTCCTTTGATGGAAGCTATTTTACTGCTGTTAGCCAAGTTAAAGACTTTAAATCCAATCCCATTTTGCGATACAGAAAGAAAGCTGAAGCTTGAGAAGGTCAAATCAAGCGATAGTCAAGAGAGGTGCCGTGGAAATACTTCATATTTGATTTTTCTAACACAGACAAAAAAAATAATCCCAAACCAACTCCCCCACATTCATCTATAGACAGCCCAACTTGATCAGTGTGCTCATTTCAGGTCACATTAAAGCACAGCTCTCTGTTAAGAGCCTGAAGAGGACCATGTCTCCCATTTCTTCTACGTGCCGCTCATTATTGCTTCGCTTCCCAGCTCCGCTATTTCACCACCTTTGGCATAGAGCCCTCTCCTCTGCAGCTTGTGCCATCTGGAGCAGCCTCCCTACCTCTCTCTGCGTAAATCAGTTCCACGTCCCTCTTGCTTTTAGCCATGGCTTCAAACATTTCTCTCCCTGCCTATGTTGCCTGATGACTCTTCTTTATAAGGGCCTTACTACTAGAGAGAGTTTGCTACACCCCATGTCTCTGTTCAGTGATTTCCTGCAATTTACACCACCGTGCTGTCTGCTCTCTGCTCCTATTCTCTCTCACTGGTGTTTTTTCTGATGGCCTATGTGGGCTACATTACACATGGCGGGTTCATGGGTTTGCGCCGCACGCTGGGTGGCTGACGCCCCGTTGCCCCAAGCACGTCGCTAGCAGGACAGCTTACCCACGAGGTTCATCTTGGCGCTGTAACTCCCAAAGTACCTCTCGTCGGTGTTGGGCGTGTGGCACTCGTACTGCCCGGCGTCGCGGTCCTGCAGGTCGGTGATGTGCAGCAGGACGGCGTCCCCCTGCACCCGCTCCACGTAGATCCCCCGGCTGCGCACGCGCTGCGTGTAGATGGCGTAGGGGAAGGACGGGTCGACGGTGCTGACGATCTGCACCTCCCGCTCGGGGGCCGAGGGCAAGTAGATGGACCACTGGAAGTTCTGCTCCGCTGGGCCCTGGTAGCCGCTCACCTTGCACCACAGCGTGATGTGGGACCCCTCCGTGCGGTAGAGGGGTCCCTCCTGCACCGCCACTTGCCGCTGGGCCAAGGCCATGCCTGCAGGAGGAGATAAGCCCAGCACTAGTTATCAGTAGGCAGCCCCCTGTACCTCCCTCCAGATGTATGCCCCCCATCCCTTTTGTGGCCATGCTTGGCAAGGCAAGCCCTCACACCCCAAACCGTGGGGTTCTTGCACAGCAGTCCCCCAGCCATGTTACAGCTTTCTTGATGACCCAAGGGAAGCATTTTTTAAAACACGCCATGAAAAAAGCAGTGTTGAGGCAATAAAAACCAATTCTTTGGTAGCGATAAGAATCCAGGCACAAAAAGGTACTGCACTGCAAGGCAACAAAGGAGAAACTCAAGCTGACAGGGCTTTGTTTTCTGCGCTACTCATATTTTCCAACCATCACCCCGAGGCCTCAGGCACAGGTTGCTGCTGGAGGGCGCCAGGAGGTGGCAAGCTCTGCAGCACCAAGTGTCACCCGTGGGGCTCCCCAGTTCAGCAGTGACTCATTCTCCTGGCACACCCCAATCATGACTGTATTCCACCAGGAGAGAGGCCCACATGTAAGGCAGGAGACTACAGTCCTCCTCCTTGGATTACTGTGCTGCCTGACAGCAACCACACAAGCACTTGTCCTCCACCAGCAAACCCACCAGAGCCTTCAGCTAGTACAAAATCCCATTCTTCCCCCACCCCTAATCCAGCATATCTTCTCCAGTCCCTCTGCTACATTTGCAAAGGCATACAGGGGAATACCATGTTTCCAGAACTGCCTTTCCAAGTCTATTTGTAAGGAGTATATTTAATACATAACAAAAACAATTAAAGCTAATGGAGGGAGCAGGCATATAACACCAAGACTCGCTGCTCCTGGCTGCTGGAAATCAAGACCCAGGAGCGTGCATTGTACACACACAAACTCTTGCAGCACGAAACAAAGACAATTCCACGGCACGGCGACTGCGATCTGCTGTATTTTTACACAGATTATGGATGGCTGGCCCTTGGGCTCATGGCACATTACCAGCACGGCCCTCCAGGGGCCAGATAAATTACAGCAATCTATCTTGTTTGTTGCTACATCAAAGGCTCGAGGTCTGGAGACCACGGTGGGTGTTCATCGGTTATTGAGTTACCAGCAGCAGGCACACATGCCGAGGCCAATCACCCTGGCTTCTGTGACTGCTTGCTTGCCATCATAAACCAGCAATAAGCCGATTTAAAGTGGGTCCTGCATAATCACGTTTGCAAATTTTATCCTCTGTGTGCGTGTGCAAGTCGGGGTTTCTTCCCTCCCTGTCTAGTTTCCAATAATAATATTCAAGTCCAGAAAAGAATTTAACCTTTCAAGAACTAGCAACTCGCAGGTGGAAGAGGTGGCCTGGCATCTGTGGATTACAGACTCAATCCTGCCCTCTGGACACGGATGTCCAGTTACGAAGTTTTTCTCCACAGTCAGCCTGGACCAGAGCCAAGAGAGACGGTTCTTACCAGCTTAAAACAAATTGTAAAAAATGGGTTTCAGCACATCCATCAGGCCATGCAGCTGAACAGATGGAGAGCAATTCAAACTATTAACTTGGGCTCAGCTTGCTGCTGCTCCGAATTATAGTTCTTTTTACTCTTTATGAAATAATGTGATTTAAGAGGAGGATGGGGAAAGCTACAGCACGTTTGAAATGAACAGGGAGAGGAACAGAGGCAAACACTGCCCCACTGCTTGCTGTACCAATCTCTTCATCCTAAGAACAGGCATTGCTAGAGACTACTAACGCATCTAAGGTGCAGAGATTCTCTTCTCTCACCCCATAAAGGCCAAAGGACAAAGCAAATACTACAGCCTTTGAAATAAGCTGTTTTTAAAATAGCAGGAAGGGCAAGATCTTTATTGCACACCTAAAGACAGCTTATAATACAATTTATGTATGGGCATAAAGCCTTGCTACAGTATACAGATACCCTGCATGCAATGACACAATTAAAATTTCACCACAAGGCAAACATGCAGTGGTAGGAATTAAAAGTTGCACACACAAAGCTCATTTAGGTATTTCTCATCTGAGTGCATGACTTTGTTTGCAGGTTTTTAGTGCACTGCTTGGTTGTTTGTTTTTAACATAGGAATTCTTTGAGTTTTCCAACTCTCCAGTTGAAAACTCTCTCATCGTTTTACCAGAGACGTGTATTTGCCCTTCCAAAGGTCACTGTCAAGATCAAAACCTCAGGGATCTTTGCATGCTGAGGCACTCAGCCATTTGGTTCATGTTAAATCCCACCATCCCCATGGCCAGCAATAATGTGGACCTCCTTCTTCTCTTCACAGTGGTTTCTGGGACCTTGCTTATAACCCTACAATCTGTAGTCCTGCTCTGCTTTCAGAAGAGACCCGCTTTCTACATTCCTCCTCTTCTATTCCCCCTTGCACTGGACTCCTGCACCTTCCTACTCCAGCCAAAAGTGAGAGAGATAAGAGCCAAAGAGCTCTTGCTTCCCTTTCTGGCTCCAGGAGCCCAAGCAGCTGAGGAGCAGAAAGATCAGGTGCAGAAAAAGCCCTGCGCAGCTCCAGTGCGGAAGGAAGCAAAACAGTCAGGGTTTTGCTACAATTTGCAGCAAGTTGCTGTTCAGCCTCGGAGAGGTGAAACACAGAGGCTTGGCAGTTGCTTTAATGGGGTGGACCTCCAAGGAGGCAGGGAGCAGCACATCCACAGTGCTCTTCTACCTGCCTGGCTGCAAACTCCTGCTCCAACATAGATGGGCACAAATGCTTTTCAACACTTAAAAAAAATACACTCAGCCAATGCAGAGACACTTCTCCAATAAATCATTTTGACTGAGAAAGAGGAAAAAAAAAAAAAAAAAAAGCAGCCCGAGACAGACATCCACTACAACAAGTTTTCTCCTCAAACAGTTAACTTTTTATACAATGAAGGGTATTTGGTAGTTTTCAAACTCTGGGAATTGCTCTATGCACATGAACATGCAGTATCAACTAAAGAACTACATTTCTTAGCAAGCAAGCATTCTGATTAACAAAAATAATGTGCCTGAAATACTCGTCTTTTCCTCTCAAAGTGAGAGAAGAGCTCATTGGAGGAGGTGCTGTGTGCTTCACACCTCCCCTAGGACACCTAGGAGATACTTATGGTGGCATTTGGCTGGTACCGCACTGGCACAGCTGGCTTTTAATTGCAAATCAAATATAATTTACTGACAATGCAAGGGCTGATACAGTGGAGGTAGTGAGCCAAGAGCTACTATAAAATTAATAAGAAATGATGGGTTTGTGGATTTTTTTTTTTTTTCCAAAAGGCAGTGAATCCCCCATAATATGGAGGAGGTGTTTCCTGATCCTTATCCCCTACAGATGAGGGGTATTGTTGCTGGCCTTTTGAGATAAGAGGAAGTCAAACAACAGCCAGGCAGCTCTCAACACTCCCCCTGGCTTACCCACCTCCCAGGCCCTGTTTGGGAGACAGGAGGAGCACGGGGGAAAGAGGAGGTGGCAGCAGTCAGAGGGAATGGTGCAGCCAGGCAATTAGACTCAAGGTCATGTAGTAAGAGAACCATGTGAGACTCGGGAACCAGCAGAAAAACCTGGTCCCAGTGCCTCCCCTATGCCAGTCTGCCCAGCAGGCTCCAGGGCCACAGCCAATGTCATGTGATGAAAGGTAAGGGAGAAATGCAATGGCAGAGTCACACAGAATCATAGAATCCTTTAGG